GGAATAAACGGCGGGAATCTCGGGAAAACGGGATCCCGAAATCCCGGGAAAGAAACCCTATACCCAACGCTTCCTAATCCATTTTCTCTTGTGTGAAAAAGGATTGGAAATATTCTTATGAAAACTTTTTCATGAGTCTCGCAATTTGTGCTTTTACCGTACATTGTTCTCAACATCTGGAAACCATTAAACGCAATGTTTCCTCTTATCAGCCCCAATATTGCCTTTAATCACCGTTCAATACTCTGCCTCCAGCGCCCACTAATTCTACTCATCGCCCACAACGGGGGCGATGAGTAGAATTAGTGGGCGATGAGTAGAATTAGTGGGCGCTGAATAGATGAAGAAAAAAATAAAAAGCCTTTAACTCAGTGTTTCTCAACGGAGGCGATATTGCCCCATGTGGGCGATTTTCCATGTTGAGGGGGCGATTAGTAACAATATATATTTGGAAGGGCGAAAAACAATTTTCTGGGCGATATAGTAAAACATAATATTAAAAATAATTAATATTTTATTCGTTATATCGTACAATAATTAAACAAATGACATACTAGTGACTATAACATTATACTATTCAGTGNTACAAATAACAGACAGAAAATCAACTTATGTCATTTATCACGTTACGTTTTAAGCTCTCAAAAGCAACACAGCATCGCTTTCTTTCTTAATTTTTTTTATAAAAGATACACATACGATAGTCAATAGCAAAACACGTAAAATTATTTTGCGCCCACACATATAGAAACGCTATAAACAGAAAACAATAAAACTACTTACCGACTCTGCTCTTTTCGATTCGCCATTTTTTCGGCTCGTTTCCGCACTGAACTCTCGAGAATCACATCGATGAACGGGGCAACACGCGCTTAGAAGTAGAAATGAATCATCACGGTAATTGGCTGCAGATGCCACATGATTTTACGTCACCGCCTGTCTTTAGGAGCACTTAATTTTTTAATTGCATTACTTGTATATTCTGTATATCCAACATTAAAACTGGCTTTATACATGTATTTATTGTGATCTCACGTATATACGTATTTAAAAAATTAGCATATAACTAAGTGGACCATTACGTGCTTACGAGTAACAGCATGATGGTGAAGTCACTTCACAATCAGTTAACACCTTTATAATTTACATTGTTGACAATGTGGCCGGTGGTGTAATCTTGGTGCATTAATTTCATATTGACGTGGTTGTTGTTTCCAGTCCCGTTGGAGTAAATGTGGGTTTTTTTTAAACAATATAATTTTTCAATTTGTTATATTGTAAGATAGAAAAACTGAAAGTCGTAGAAAATGAATAAATAGCAAAGATCCTTTTAAATTTCGAACTTTTACAATGTTTATGTTAATTAAGAATCTCTTTGATAAGGCGTTTCATGTGAGAATTCAAACTGTATTTTTAAGCAAACTTTTGTAAATAATAAATTAATAAATTTTTAAATAAATTTTGTAAACAATAAATTAAGAATACAGTTGACCCCCCCATAACACTGTTGATAATTTCGTGTTATATAAATTCCATGTTGTACGAGTCACTTAGATTTTACAAACACCTCAGCCGTTCACAGCCAAGCACACGTATTTGTAAAATCTAAGTAATTCCTACAACATGGAATTCATATAACACGGAATTATCAACAGTGTTATAGGGGGGTCAACTGTATTCTGGAAGAAAAACAAAAGCGGAAGCTTCGAGTTCGAGTTCCGCTCGGGGTCGAGTTTTTAATCGAATTCGTTGAATTTCTATGATTTTCTACGTGTTAAAACTTTTTAGAATATTAACGAATTCTGTTTCTAAATTTACAAGCGTACTTTGACTGAAGAATTGTACAGGATTCAAACGTATATAAAGTGTTTGGTTTTATCCACTTTTTTCGAGAGTTTTTAAAAGACTTCCCTAGGTATTTTTAATGTTATCTGCTGGACTTTCCGTACGTAACTATAGAAGTCACAATAAAGCGGCATTAATTACTCGTATTATTTACATAAGTTTCAATTTTATTCGTCACTTTGCATTGGTTGTGAGTACCCAACAATTGAGTGAGTGCTTACAAGCAAGGATAAACTGCGCTGATCATCTGAGAACAATTTAAATAATTAATTTACACGAACTTTTAAATATCAATTTATACCTGCTAATAACGAGTGCGTTGACAAGTTTGTAAACGGACTAGCTTGAGAAAATTCATTTTTCATACATAACCTTGAAACAGACGCTGAACAGATGTTGGAGTAAAATCACATCACATTATTAAATGAAAACTCTAACAAGGCACTTGGCTTGACACAGTCTAATGGATTTGCAGTATTTGTATTTGTTTAAAGTCTGAAAATTGTAAGTTAATTGTTAGTTTTTTTATTTTTTTGTTTTGTATTTTTAGTATATTTAACAGTACAGTCGACCCCCCTATAACGCTAGTTATATAATGCGGATTCGTATATCGCGGCGAAAAAATTGTGACCGTATTCGTATAAAGACGCTAAAAGAGACTCGTAAAATGAGGCAAAATGTCATCGCCGACTCGCGTCGCGACAGGATTGGTCGAATCTGGACAAATAGTAAACGAGCAGCCGAACTACTTACACTCTACGGAGAGTTTAGGCGAGTAAGTTGAGTTTACTATCGTTTGTACAGTATATAAATTAGATACTGTAGATCTAATACAGTACTGTAATTTTATATATTTCTTGTAAAAAAACATTTCTTATTCAACGGCCATAAAAATGATTTATATTAATGATGTCTCCAAAGTTCAACAAATTTTTCACAGAAAAATAACTTCTCAGAAAACACGGTCGCCGTTTGGCGCGCTGCTCCGCGACGAAAACAAGCTTGAGCAATAGCGATGTCGAAAGGTGCACACTCGGTAAGTAATCCTACAATTTTTTGTTTATAGCATAGTTTATACAGATTATTTTCAAAAAATTATACGTGGTTTAGAAATGTTGAGTGAAATTAGTCTAGAATCGATTAATTTTATGGAAGTAAACCTTTCAAACAGCCGTAGTTTGTAAACTGCACACATGCCGGGCTGTGATTGGCTCATGCATTTGAGGATTCCTACAACGCGAAATTCTTATAAAGCGCAACGTATCTACCGCGTTATAAGGGGGTCAACTGTATTGACACGGTAGTAATAGAGTAGATTAACTTGTTTGGTAAACAAAAAAATAATTTGGTGGATGTATTAAATTGCAGTTTTATAAGTTGCGTCCAAATCTATCTTTTGAATAATTTTCGTTGAAAATATACAGGTAGAGTTTTGGTTCGGTTTGGTTTGTTGGAATTATGGCTACGCAACTTGATCGATCTGCCAAGAAAGGATGCCTTCCGAAAGGTCTTTTTAAGGAAAACTGGTCCCTATTTAGACGTTACAGAAGTGAAGAAAACTCGAAAATGTGGACAGCCCGCTCGAGCGAGGCGCAAACCCACGACCGAACTCCTACTGTTTAGGGTACGAATACCGCTTGGCCACTGGTGGAACCAGATAAAGTTTTAAGTACGTAATTTAATGTTATTTATATTAAAATTTTACATTAAAAAAATCTAACTGAATTTTTTTTTTTTAATTTTCCAATGTACCGTATTTCTTCGATTCGTCATCGATTGTAATAATGCATCTTAAATTCAGTACAACAACGAAAAACATAAAAAAAATATAGCCTATATAATAAAATGCTAAAATGTATCTTAACAAATATTTTTATTATAATATAAATTATCACAAATTAAATTCTGTTTTTAATTAATGCGTGTAAACACTAAACATAGTCAAGAAAACAGCCTTAACAGCCTACCAATTTACCTATTACATCTATAAAGCTAGAAATAAGTCAAACTGATAGGAAAATTACTAACTCCTGCAAGTTGTAATTAAAACAGCATTTTTGTCTAACAATTTTCTGTATTGTTATACGGCTTTTTTACTTTTTGACTAATTACGTTTCATGTGTGTTATGTTATACTTTATGTTTAGGAGAAAGGGCCGAACTCAAAAGAAATTTCGACTCTAGCATGATATAAATTTGCATTTTATTCAATTAAAGGAAAAAATAACACTGTAATTAATTGTCTTCTGTTAGTATTACACAAAACAGAGGAAAATTTTTAAAAAAATTACTTAATGACTTGTATTTGTACCTAAACATATCCATTCATAAAACAGGCATGCAATAAACCAGCATCATTAAAATTGCCACAAAATATAATACATCAATGTAAATTTTAAATTATATGACAACAAGAATTCTCTAAAATGCGATTGCTGTAAATATAATAAATAAACATTTTTATATTTATTTAAAAAAATTGTGCATTATAAAAAAAATTCGTCAAAAATTTCTGAATGGTCTTCAATGTCCCTTTGTTTAGTATTGAAAATAAGTACAGTACCGCTATTAAAACTACCCTAGTGTAAACTCGTAGTATTAAAAATAACCTTATAAAGCTTTTTTTGAATAGTGATCTTTTATGCAAACTGGTTCTGTAGAAATTCTGCAATCAACTCGTTCTAAACGCACTGTTCTTTTAACGGTAAATGTCAGTAAGTAGGTAAGATTTCCGGACACATTCACTTCAAAAAATTAAAATTTCGAAGCCAATTAAATTTACGCAGAGTGGTAGATGAAAAGAATGGTAAAACATCACATTCTATACAACGAATACTAAGAATAATACTGTAAATAATAAAATTGAAACGTAGATATCGAATTGCTCGGACATTTAGACAAAAATTCTAGTTATAACTCTTCTTATTTCTATCGTCATTAACATGAAGAAAGAAAAGACTAATGCTGTAAGATTGTAATTATATTTTTTTCTCGAACATCTACTGCGATAAAAACAATGAAAGTCACCCACGTAACTATCATTCAAAAGCTGATAATTATAAACGTTCTTGATAATATATTTCCAAATAATTCCAAATTTTGAATTATAAACAATTCGACTAATGACAGAAAAAAAATTTTACTTTTCAGAAAAAAATTACATTAATAAGCACTTAAAATTTAAATTTTGTTTTCTGTAAATCCAATAAATTCGTTATTCCGTTTACGTACACACATTTTGACAGTAATACAATAAGAAATAATAAGAAATAAGAAAAAATAAAAAATTCGAATTTAACTTTACATTATATTCTCGTTCAGATTTTGCTTTTTTCCAGGGAAACTTTTCACTTCAAAAATATAAATCAACCGAAAAATAAATATTATTCATAAGGTTTCTGTCACCGGTTAGAATTTTGTCTTCAAATTCCCTGGCATTTGTTCCTTCGTCGCTCACAAAGTAACTCAGTTCAGGTGAAAACTCGATATCAGGTTGGACATATTCACCGCGGTAAAAGAAAGCAAAGAAACGAATTGACCAAAATTTTTCTAGATACAACTTCGTTTCCAGATTTGCTACTCCCTCTGAATTGCAAACGGTTTCAAACGTAAAATACTCGTTGTCCAAATTGTTAATATACGCGTTTACGCACATTGGATAACTTTCGTGAAGCTTCACCGGAAATCGAAGAACCGTGACGTAACAAGCTTCTCTCACAACTACTTCGCTGCTAAAATATGTGTAACCTTTCATCCCTCCATTTGCGACCATAAAAGGATCTCCACGATTTATGTACGAGAACAAGTTACAATAATTTATTTTGCTTCTGGTTTTTGTTTCTCGACTGAAGTAACTGGGATAAAAGGAATAATTACCAATCGTGAAAGCACGCCACATATTACTCTTTTCTACTTCGCTTAACAAGTTCATTGTAAAAACACAACGTTGCAATTCGTCTTCATTCATTGCAAGAAATCTGACTTTTCCAATAAATGGCTCCATAACATTTCTTATTTCATTCCTTTCCGATTCTTCATTCATCGAATAGAAGTTGTCTGCACCCAATTTTCTTTGAGCTTCTTGTATGCTCCACTCATACACGGCTTCAAGTAAACGCAATTCACTGACTGATTTATATATCGCTCGAGATAGCAGTCTATCAATTGTTGCAATTTTACAGCACTTAAAGTCGACTGTTGTAAATAGTCTTTCACCGTGTTGGTTGAAAGCTACCCAGCAATAATAAGTTATGTCCAGATCACCGATTTCACGTGCAAAATCGTGAATTGCACAGACAGTATGCAGATTTATTTTTCGAATAATAAATGATCTGCATTTCTTTCTTAAATCGTCTAACTCGTATCTTAAACTCAGATGATACAGATCGAACGCGTGTGTAAAATAAAACAATCCGGGATCGTCCGTCAGTACATAACTGTTTAAAAAATATAAATTATAATTAATGACAATGTATTGAAATTAAATGAAAGGTAAGTATCGTGAGAAACTTACGTAACGAATTGTCTGATGGTCCGGATTGGAAAAGGCATAAGCAGTACTTTCGAATTTTCAACATATGTAATGAGAAGTTCCAAATGCCTGTTCAGGACTTTATTTAACTTAGCTTCTGATATAATAATTGCTTCGTTTTCTTCGTTTTGGATTCGTATCTCACTCGAAGAAATCCTAAAACAACAGAAAAATATTTATTATTACTTTCGAACAAACATCTCTGTTGTACGTTAGTTATAGGATTTCCGACAATGGTGTATGAACAATACATGCATGACTAATATTTTAAAAATAGATATTAAAGCTTCTGTATTAGCTTATCCCGAAATATTTCTTTGTTCATAGAATAGAGATGTCTTTTATTTTAAAAAATTCAGCGTTTCCTGATACGATAGCACCTAGGAAATAAAACTTGATTACCGCGAAATCATCGAAACCTAAGATTTATTTTTTAAAGCTATCGTACCCGATTTTTTAAAAGAAAATTTTTTGGCGTGCATTTTTAAAAAAAAAGACATCTCTATTCTATAAAAAGATAAGTATTATGAAATATTCCTTTCAGTAGACTGATAAGGGGCGTAGCCTCAAATAAAATTCTGTTAATAGAATATAGATATACCTGCATTTTTTAAAGAAGACACTTTGTATGATAGATCAGAGTTATTATTTGATTATCAATACATGTTAATACTAACATCAAAGTGTCCTTTTGTTAATGTGAAGATTTTTGTATATATGTATTGTTTTGGATGGAGTATTGACGGTCCTTCAGTTAATTAATTAAATAAATGTATCTTTGATACTACTTCTATCATTCTCCGACTAGAATTAAGAAATAATTACAGAAATAAAAACTTGTTTGTACAGTTTTCGGTATAGAAAATGTAAATACTGTAAGGTCTCGTTTTATGCGGTGGATACGTTCTACAGAATAGCGCATATAAAAAATTCGCATAAAAAGACTTTACTTGCCTTGAAAAAGTAGGGTTACTTTCTGTAATTTTCTAAAATCGCATAAAACCAAAACAGCGAGTTAAAATTAACTTTAAACCGCATAAAAAACACCGCTAAAATAAAATTTAATTTCGAAACAATTACAGTTTATACCTTTCAATGCGAAACTCAGAATGATGTAATAGCGACTTGTCAATGGTAAGTATCATGTACACAATGGGAATCCTAGAATTGCAAAAGCTCCCTCTAAAAACAAATCACTAACATCTGGATGTGAAGAGTTAATTAAAACACTTTTAGTTCCTCGCCAAATTAACTCGGGCAGGTTACATAGCGTTACATAAAACACTGTCCTTAAGGCTTGAAAATATTTTTTTGAATTTTTGGAATGTTAAGTCTCCAAATTTTTTAAAAATATTTAAACATATACGGCCAGCTAGTATTCACCCTACTTTAAACCCTTGTCCTCCCGCGACGTCTATGAGAATGCCCCGGAAAATCCAACTCCAGCTGTGTTCAAGGTCATCCAGATGTGTAAACAATGACTCATTGGTGTTAAATTTCACAGAAGGGCGAGACAAAAGAAGTTAAACTTTGAAGCTTTTTTTTCAAAATTAACGCATTTCTTTCGTTTTTTTTCAGTTTTAAGTATTTTTTAATGTTTAATTACATTCATATCAAAAATTGCTAGGAACTAAAGCGATTAAAATAGATCTAGCTGTCCTATACATCCATAAACGTTATATATCAGTGGAACAAATGGAGTGAGCTTTGAGCGATCCACAATTTTTGGAGACTGTCTATACGAGAGCTTCCTAAACAAGCCTATATGTATGTTTGTCCAAGAAATTTTTGGATGAAATACAAACCGCACAACTTCAAAACCGCATAAAAATAATCCGCATAAAAAGCGACTTTACAGTAATCTAGAATTCTTCTCAAATTGTTTTATAATTCTCGACGAACAATAATTGATTTTTCTGTAATCTATCGTATTCTGAATCTCTGTGTGTGTACATCATTGTATACTGTACTGTTATAGCTGATAATGCTAGTCCCAAACTGCGATTTCCTTAAATTTTTGATTATTTTTTTACACAAGACTAAAACTTGAAGTTAAAAAGTCATCACGCTAACATAATGTTAATCAATTATCATCCATTCTAAAAACTGATTAAACAAGTTCGTTAAGAGGAGGAAGCTGGAGATTTTTTCGAAACCCGAAACCTACTTACAAAAGTCTAATTTTACAAAGAATTAACAATTACATGTTATATTCAGTAACATAAAAAATCTTTAGGTTTTTTTTTCATCCACACATATTTCGTATGTTCTAAATAAACGGATATTGACGTCCCGTAATTAAGTAAAAATTAAATTTTATCTTCGTGTGTGTCATTCATTGACACAAAGCACAATCACAGGTTTTCATTACAAACTGAAGTAAAAAGAAAAAGCCTTTAACTAATAAGTTATCAGTTAAAAGGCAACCGAGCGCATAGAGTCGCATTGCTTGTGGCTATTCCATGCCGGATAGCATCATGTGATTCCTGGTCACTTACAAGGAAAAAAAGTGTATAACCTAACAGTGTTGTACTTATATATTCATTCTGAACATGGTTTTTCTCGCTTTGTAGACCGATAAATAATAAACTGGTCGAATAATGAATTTCTCCGTAATGTTATTTGATAGTTTCATGTGAAACTTTTAATCAGAGAAAAAATAACGTTTATAAAGTTCTGTTATAACACTTATTAGGTCTATGGTTTTTAAAAAATTTCGATCTTAATATGAATAATTACAAACAAAATATATTATTAAAAATATTGGCATCAAATCTCTGTACAAAATGCAATTCAATTTGTTTCATTCATTCAACTGCCTTTAACAAATGAATACCACTTTTACATTTTACAACTCAACGTTTCACCTACTAATTGATGAAACTGAGGGATCCGCGATTTACATGTCAAAAAACACTGAATTAGCCGAATTAAATCTTGTAGAAAAGAATGAGTATTAATCATTTGTATATTAAAAATTAAACAAACGTTATTAACTCAAACTTTAAAGACCGAAAACAAATTCACCAAGAGAATGGAAATTTTAATCTACTTAAACCCTTTGAATTCTAAAAGTACAGTAATAGAGTCTATTTCTCGAGTAAGAACATTGTAAACAGTCGTTTATTTACACAAGGAAATAAGCTTTTTGTCAAGTTTTGATTAGTCATTGTCTCCGTTAAGACAATTGAAACTTTTGTTAATTAAATACTTTTAGTTTAAATATTCTATAAAATTTATATATAAATTTCAGTAAGAGTATGTTCATTTGACCCGAACATATGTGATGAATAAGTATAAGTATAAATAACAGACAGAAAATTAACTTATGTCATTTATCACGTTATTTTTTAAGCTCTTGACAGCAGTACAGCATCTCTTTCTATCTCAATTTTTTTTATAAAAGAGACACATACGATAGACAATAGCAAATCACGTAAAATTATTTTGCGCCCACACATGTAGAAACGATATATACAGAAAACAATACAACTACTTACCGACTCTTCACCTCTCGATTTGCCATTTCTTCGGCTCGTTTTCGCACTGAACTCTCGAGTATGACGTCGAAAAACAGAGGCAACACGCGCTTAAAAGTAGAAAGAAATCATCACCGTAATTGGCTGCAGCTGCCACATGACTTTGATGTCACCCCCCTCTCCGCAGATTCACTTAATTTTTTAATTGCATTATTTGTATATTCTGTATATCCGACATTAAAATTGGCTTTATACCTGTATTTATTGTAATCTCACATACACGTATTTAAGAAATTAGCATATAACATATGGACCATTACGTACTTACGAGTAACAGCATGACGTTGAAGTCACTTCACAATCAGTTAACATTTGTATAATTTACATTATGGACAATGTGGCTAGTGCTGTGGTCTGCGAGCGTTAGTTTCATGTTAACAAGGTTATTGTTTCGAGTCCCGTTGGAGTAAATGTGGTTTTCTTTTTACACTATAATTTTTCAATTTGTTATATTGTCAGATATAAATAATGAAATTCGTAGGAAATAAATTCACATCAAGGTTGGGTATTATATCATTCGTTTCAAATTTTAAACTTTTACAATATTTATATTAATTAAGAATCTATTTTCTATGGCATTTGATATAAAGATTTATTACATTTATATTTATTATAATTATATAAATTTATTTAAAAAAAATAGGTTAATCTTTTTTACTAATCTATTTTTTTACAATTTATATTCAGATATTCGAATTTTCATCAGTAAGTATATATTAAAATTTTAAATTAAATACAATTCTCTAATTATAGTTGCATAAGAGATAGTGTTAAAGTTTAATTAAGTACACTCTATCATTTCTATAAGAATTGTAACAATATATATTTGAATAAATATTGGTCTATACAGTAATGTTCAATGATAAATTCAAATTGATGTTTAGGCTAGTACTGAAAACAAGCAAAATATTAAATGTTTTATAAATTGATGTAAATCTGAAAAATTGTATGTAAACTATTGTTTATAGAAATTGCTATACCAGGAAAACTCAAAGTATTTGCTGGTGATTTACAATGATATGAAATGAAAATTGATATAGCAGCATCATTAGCAAAATTCTTGTGCTAGCAACGTCAACTTAACAATCACATGTACAATGATGATATAGAGCCTACAGATACAAGACCTGACGTTTATGGTTGTTCGATGCCATAAACAGAAGACCTGGTGATCTCATTTTTTACAAGAATGTAAACAGTCAGACATCTAATAGAACAACTGCTTTGTGTTTTCAGACAGATAATGTTTAGCCTGATGCATTATGCTGCTCTAAATCTTGGTGCGGAGCCTGTTATGAACGACCTGTAATTTTTGGTAACCATATATCCCAGGCATGAAATATTAAAATGTTGAATGTAATTCTTGTTGTATGATGTACGGTGATAATGAGTAATGGATTATTGAGTTTAACCTGAGCTTCTGCTACATACAAATCTAAAAATGACATAAGAAAGATAGTTTGGAAATTGGAGTTTTTTCTTACAGACATCCTCGATGCCATTTCCCACACGATAATGCCATTGAATTGAAATTATTATATTACATCTTATAATAAATATTAGCATTATAATTATTATAATGTATAGTATTATAATTATCAAATCTATAGTATGCTTGTCTAAACAATATTTCAATTAATAATTCAAAAACTGAAAAGTTTATTAGTAGAAAACTAATTTAAATAAATTTAAAATTGTTTCAAGGAGATTCTAACACAGGATATAGCTATCAAGTAAGTTTATTCTAAAAATCAATGATAATTTATGTTTTATAAAGAAATTATTCTTCAGTCACTACATAAAGACAGTAACGCATTCAAGGAAGACACCACCATATTTAATCTTTTTAACTATCTTTCACATTTTCTATTTTAAAATGCGTATTTATTTACACAATTATAACAAAACATTCGATCTATAGTGTAACACGCTGTTTGATGTATTTAATTTAATCATAAAATAGTGGGCCACCACACATACATACATTAGTTTGGTTAAAAGAGAATGTTCACTCGACTCAAATTGACAATGTAATTTCGGCGGAGTTTCCAAATGTCGAAGAAGATCTCGTTTTGTTTGACGATATGAAAAATAACACGATTCATGGTCTATGTAAGGGAATTAATCCAAGTTTACCTTGCAGGAAAATGGAAAATGGATCGTCGAGAATTTAAAGCGGAAATTCAAACCGGAGATGATGGCTATCTTCCGTACAGAAGGTCAAAACCAGAGGGTGAAGGATTTATCACAACAACGGGGGTGAAAACTATTAGTGCATATGTTACCGCTAAAGCTCGAAATCCGTAAATGTGCAGATTACCTAGCTAATCTGCAGATTAACTAGGGTGATCCGTTAAAGCTGCGAAAATTGTTTCATTTCTCAAATTACCTAGGTAATCTGTAGAGTATCTAGGTAATCTGCACATTAACTACTAGGCACTCGGTAAAGTGAAAATAAGATCTTTGCTGGAAAAACTGCAACGTTTCTGTACGCTTAAATCAACATAATGTTATTTTATTTAATTTTTAATATCTAAAGAATCAAGTTAACACAATCAAACAATCAACAAATTAGTTGATTGGATCATCAATCAATTAAAAAAACTTTAATACAAAAATCAAACGGTTTAAAATATTACTACAATTAGGGAAATGAATTTGCAAAACATATGATAAAATCGTACTTACTTATTAGTGCAATCTAAAGATTGGTGACACTTTGAATTACGTAGCAATTGGTTTTTGCGACAAGCACGCCTAT